GATCTCAAAAGGTGAGGCCAGAGCCTCCTTGGTTTGAAAGAGTAGAATCTTCCCTAGACCCTTTCCAGAGTGTGGGGCTGCTGTTAAAGTTTGCCAGGGGAATGTGGCTGTCACCTAAAGCTGAGGGGATAGGCTGCCTTGCACAAGGGACAGAAGAACAAGGCCAGCTGGGACAAAGGGGGTGTGGTCGCCACTCAGATGGACTAGGAGAACAGGGCCACCCAGAGCCAAGGGAGCACAATTGCTTTACCTGTGGGCCTAGAGTGCAGGGCTGAAGCCCAGGGCTGAGGGGTCTTTACTCCAATTCATAAAGCATGGCCAACATCGAGAGTCTGGAGGGCTGGATGGTTGCTCAGATGGTCTCATTGGACAGAGGATTATTTTCAAGCCTTGAGAGATAATGTAAATTCTTTTACTTGGCTTTAGACTTGCTTGGTGTACATTATCCCTTCCTTACCTCCAATTTCTCCCATTGTAATGAGAATTTCTACCTAGTGCGTGTTCCATCACTGCACTTTGGAAACATAATTTGTAGTCTAGATTTCTTGGCTTCACAGATTTAAAGAAATTTTGCCCCCAGATGGAATACTCCTAAAGTCTCACCCATAGTTGATTTAAATACTTCAGAAGATGAGATTTTGAACTTGGAGTTGATTTAAGACTTTTGGGACGATGTGATGGGTTGAATGTGTTTTGCATCTGACAAGGACATGAATCTGGGGGGGGGCAAAGGGTAGAACGTTATGGATTGAACTGTGTTACCCAGAAATATGTGTGTAAATCCTAACCTCTATGCCTGAGGTTATAATCCCATTTGTGAATGGGTTGTCTCTGTTATGTTAATGAGGCAGGATGAGTGTAGATTGTATCTTAAATCAATCTCTTTTGAAATATAAATGAGATTAAGCAAGCAAACAAGAGAAGCAGAGATGGGGGAAGAAAGATGCCAAGCCACATGAAGACCACCCAGGAGCAGAAGCTAAAAGAGACAAGGACCTTCCTTCAGAGTCAACAGAGAAAGAAAGCCTTCCCCTAGAGCTGGCACCCTGCATTTGGACTTCTAGCCTCCTAAACTGTGAGAAAATAAATTTCTGTTTGTTGAAGTCATCCACTTGTAGTATTTCTGTTATAGCAGCACTAGATAATTAAGATAATTAAGACAATGGTAAAGTTACCCAAAGCAGGTCCTCTTCGGTGTGACATCATCAATAAAGATACACCTAGGTAAGGAGGGAGGAAGTACGTTTATTGCAAGTGCGCAGGCAAGGAACAAGGAGGTGTATACCTCAAATCAAGCTCTATGAACAAAAACAGGCAGAACTTTTTATACCGTCTCTCATAAGGAAATACAAACAAACATTATGGACTACATAGTTCATCATAGCAGGCAGGTGCAGTAAGACAAAAGGCATCTTTTTCTTCGGCATGTAGGCTGGTAAGCTGGGTTTCACAGGCTTGAGTCACACCCAGTACTTTGGGAACAATGACAGGAGGGGAAAGTTTCTACTTGGTCTGAGCAGCTACCAATTGAGCCACACCCATTTGATTGATCATGGCTAAACAGCTCCTGGCTGCATTGGCTATCAATAATACCAAAGTTTTTCCAATGAGGGCTTGAAGGACATGGGGACAGATTCAATCCACAGAGTGAAGAAGTCAGTGACCTTGGCTGAACTCATCACAGCTTTCCATCTTTTCTTCATGAAATCCTAATTATTTTTCAAAAGCCATGTTAGACCTACTTCCTCCAATAAGTGGCTAGACAAGTCTGAGAATTTTTTCTGTCCATTTTACACTTTATGCACAGAATGGTGAACAGGTGAAAATTAGATCAGTTACATAAGAGTCAGCAAAATGACTATCACCAACTTTAGTGAGCGTCATTTGCTTTAACCACAGCGTCGTACAGAGAGCGTCTTTAATTAACACCAGGTGGTTTCTATGTTTTTTTTGGACTGATCTCCTCACGGAAATACATTTACGTCAATTCCAGAAAATCTCTTTAGGATTAGATGCAAAACAAACTTTGTACTGTAATTATAGTCACTGACTTATTAGCTGTCTCCAAGATTTTTTTTTCTTTTAATCCCACATGTTATAGAGACCAAGATTTAGAGTCAGAAATTCGATTCGTCCTAACACTATAAGGCAAATAACAAACTGTTACAAACTTCTCAGAGAACTCCGGGTAAGAAAAATATTCTCCTTAATTTTTACTTTTAATATTGATATCTCTAAATATTTATTTCTCAAAATTTATTATCTTCATTGTTCTCAGATTTCAACTCATTTGTCTTTCTAGTTTTTCTCTAAATTGAAGACTGTGAGGAGCCAGGATGAGACACAATACTGAAATTCATTTCTGATTATAAGGTAGAATTTCAAAACATACAGTAAAGCCACAAAGTAATTCTATTAAATAATTCAAGTTTGTTGTTGTTGTCAGGTGCCATCGAGTCAATTCTGAGTCATAGCAACCCTATGTACAACCGAACAAAACGGTGCCCGGTCTTGTGCCATCCTCACAATAGTTGCTGTGTTTGAGCCCATTGTTGCAGCAATGTGAATTTAAAGTTATTTCTAATTTAGCTAAATAATTAGATGGTTTATATTTAATATTTTAAATAAATAAAATGTTTAGCGAGTTTCTTCCTTTTGATGTTTATGGAAAAATTAATTTCAGTATTATGGAAAAATAAATCCATTCTGACCGTAGAATTTACATGATTAGCATCTTCAGTTGAAGTGTTCTACTGCTATCATTAGATAATGAGATAACCTTGTAAAACAAAACAAAATTTGTTCTCAAAAATGCTAAGACTATTTAAAGGTTTTAGAAAACTAAAGCATAAAGGAAGCCTACTTTAATTTATTAATTTATAAGTTATTGTGATATAATTCAGAAAATTTTATAATTTTCCAAGGAAACAGAAATATAGTAGATAAGATTGTGCGAAATGGTTGATGTAATTAGTGACACTAAATTGTACACTTGAAAAATCTTGAATTGGCGAGTGTTGTGTTACATATGGAGCCCTGGTGCCGCACTGGATAAGAGCTCGGCTGCTAACCAAAAAAGGTCGGCAGTTCAAATCCACCAGCTGCTGCTTGGAGACCTTATGGGGCAGTTCTACTCCGTCCTATAGGGTCGCTAGAGGTCGGAATTGACTCAACAGCAACAAATTTTTTTTTTTTTTTTTTTGGTTTAGTGTCACGTATGTTTACAACGATTTTTAAAAAGTCAATTCAAGCAATAGAAAGATATCTAAATTTTTTTCAAATAAAGAGTTTTTGAATAATGTCCTTTGTAGGCTCTTCTTCAAAGTTTATAATAGTTTCAATTTGCAAAGGCCACAGTGGTCACTTAACATCATTAGTAGGATACCGAAAACAAGTTCACTTGTCCCAGGTGATCAGGGTGGAGCTAAGATTTGAATCAATTCTGCCTTTTTACCATAGCATTTTACAGATCCCTACACCGAAGCATAAATCTGAGTTAATCTCAAAATGCTCACAATCTAATAAACAAATTGTGCATAGACATGTAATAAAAGCAATGTAAATTAAACATGAGAAATTCTAGATTATGTTGGGTGTATAACATATGCTTAAAGCTCGGAAAAATGGAGATCAGTGTGGTCTGGGTTTTTTAGTTAAAACTTTATTAAGTAGCATTATATGTAACTATGCCTTAAAGAAAGGATTGAAAGGATATACATATTTGTTCAAAGTGTCAAATATCTATATTTGAAATAATGATTTGTAAGAAATAATAGCCTGGGCAGAGTCAGTGTTTATAGAAATGAGTGAGTGTTGAGCTAGGAGTGGAGGATGAGGAAGTTGAACAATGGGTAGATAGAGTGAGAAAGCCTGAAGAGCTATTGGTGAATGTGGAAAATAAGGATGGAGGTGGATTAGATTACAGAGAAACTTACATGCCATCCTAAAGAATTTGAATTTATCTTAGAGACAACAAATATTGGAGTCTTTCTGGCAGCAGAGTGTTGCATCTGGCAATATTATGAAGTGATGACCACTGAACTCCAACTAAGATAAGTAGATCTGGAAATGGTGAGGAGAATGTGACCTTAAATAAGTAATCAAACAATAGAGAGCTTCTATCTGATAAGTAGTAGAAGTCTTTAGGGAACAAACTGGAGAGGATACTAAATGGATGTTAAACAATTCTCATAATATGGTCACAATCATTAGCATATGATCACCAAATCTCAGAATTTTAGAACAACAGGAGACCTTTGAGGTTAAAAATGAAAAGTATTCAAATAAAGAAGAAAAATATTAACATTTCATTTAAAACTAGTCTTAGAAAATTTAAGGCAGAGTTTACATATAATGCTACTTAATAAAGTTTAAACTAAAAAACCCAGAAAAATGGGTTAATAGAAATATGAAGATGATATACGCCAATTAACTTATTAAGGAAATTGGTAAAGTTTTATTTCTCTAGCTTTCCAAGGTAATTTTCTTTAAATAGTCTACTCCTTAATACTTAGTGACCTTTGCGCACTATCTAAATTATAAATTAACACACTGATAGTAAGCTATTTTTAAACTTCACTCCACTAGGATAGTATATTAAAAAAAATGTTTCCTCGATGGAAAAATATATATATGTAATTTATACAGGAAAATGGACTTTAAGTACACTTTAAGAATCATCAGTACAAAAACTGACATTGAAATATTTGAGAACACTAAATCTACTGTTCACAGTCTTTGTATAAATTCATAAACACAAATCTTTTCACTGCAGTCATATCCTTGGAATTATCAAAGTATTCTTCTGAATCTTCAGCTTCAGCGTTTGAGGTCATATAAGACAATACTTTAGGGGAACTAATGTTCCCTAGCAGTATGTATGCCTGTATTTCAGAGACAGCAGGGAGAGCTTCAGGAAGTAGCTCTACTCCCAGTTGTCAAAAGAGAAATTCAAAGGGAAAATTAGACACACTCTAAATTAGAATCCTATCTCTCCATATTTTCTAGCTTGACAGAGAAAGTAGAGATGAACAAGGACAATCACTCCATGACAAATGAGTTTATCCTCATAGGATTTAAGGATCACCCAGATCTGAAGACCTTTCTGTTTGTGGTATTCTTTGCTATTTATCCGATTACCATGGTGGGAAATCTTGGTTTGGTGGTGTTGACTTTCATGGAGATCCGTCTCCACACACCCATGTATATCTTTCTTGGCTACCTGGCTCTGATGGATTCCTGCTGTTCCTGTGCCATTACCCCCAAGATGTTAGAGAACTTCTTTTCTAAGGACAGAATGATTTCTCTCTATGAATGCATGGCACAATTTTATTTTCTCTGCCTCGCTGAACCTGCAGACTGCTTTCTCCTGGCAGCAGTGGCCTATGATCGCTATGTGGCAATATGTAGTCCACTGCACTACCACACCCTGATGTCGAAACAACACTGCATTCAGATGACCATAGCTGGGAACGTGCATTCCCTTATTCATATAGTACTTCTGTTAAGGCTAACCTTTTGTGGCTCTCATCATATCAATCACTTTTTTTGTGATGTTCTTCCATTGTACAGACTCTCCTGTGTTGACCCATATATCAATGAACTGATGATACCAATCTTTGCAGGGTTTGTTCAAATCTTTACTATTACCGTAGTCCTAATCTCTTATCTTTGCATACTTTTCACAATTTTCAAAATGAAATCCAAAGAGGGAAGGGGCAAAGCTATATCTACTTGTGCATCTCACTTTCTCTCTGTCTCAATATTCTATGGTTCTCTTCTTTTCATGTACATTCGGCCAAGTTCAGTTAAAGAAGGGGATAAAGATATACCAGTTGCTATTTTTTATACTTTAGTAATTCCTTTATTAAACCCTTTTATCTATAGTATAAGAAATAACGAAGTAATAAACATTATGAAAAGAATTATGAAGAAGGGAAAACCTCAAAACATTCTGAAACAAATATCCCCTGTGACAAATTGATTTTAATTAGATAAACTTTTTTCAGAGTCAAGGATACTGGGAAAATGGAAAATGGCCACTTTGTGTATCATGTATTAAATCACTAAACCATGATGATTTTTAAGCCAAATAATATATAAATGGCTAAATAAGTTCCTGAAGGAGGGATTCTACTAAAATGTATTTCCGAATCTAAAGTACTAGGATCTCTTAGGAGTGAATTAAATGACTACTCCTAAGGTTGCAAATTGTGTCAGAGTGGAATTAGCTACAATTTTCAACATATCCAACAAATCCTAGGAATAAAATCCAGTATATAAAGGTAGCCTCCATTTAGCATTGTTGGCAAATTTACGGAATCCCTAAGCGTAGTCTTACAAACTCACGTGCATTTCAAGGTCTTTTATGTTAATGACTTAAGCCAACTGTCTATCAGAAGAAAACTGTGGATTTGAATTCGGTTCTTAACTTTTTTGAGTTGTTCAAGAGTTTATGTTTGAATATGGATTTATACAGAATATGTATTCTCAAATCAAGAACATCTTTATCTTTAGTGCGAGTCATTTTTCCTGTCAAGCTCTCTGAAATAGAGTGTTTGTATAGTGGTAATTTATCAATCTTTAGTTGAAAATATTGCTATTTATATTGAAATTCCTATGGACTTAAGTGTTGTAACATAGTTTGATAGCTGTCCATGATGCATGATAGTGCAATTTCTGAATATATCAATTAATTCAAGGGTTTCCCCCCAAGACAGCATTACTTGTCTTGTTTGTTATTAGGAATATCACTAACCTGCACAAATTCCCATATAGATTATTGGTATATTATGAGCATTAACAGAAAGCTGGAGATGCTCTTCAGCAAAAATGAGGCAGAAGGTAGCGAAATTCCTAAAAAGCTGAACAAAAACAACAACAAAATTTATTGATCATTTAAATGTGCAAATATAAAAGAAAAAATGGTTTAATGAGAACTCACTCTCTGCTAAACACAAAACTCCAACTTTCAGATTTCTTGCCTTCCTATGACTTAGGCATTATTTTTCAGCTTTTCCAGAGTAAAACACTCATGTGTTGAAATATTAAGTAGTTTGCCCAAGTTCATGCAAGCATCTGAATGGAGTTAGGATTTGAATCAATGATGCCTTTTCCCCATACTGTTTACAGCTCCTTTCACAGAAACTTAAGTCACAGTTAATGTCACTATGCTTAAAATCTAATAAGGAAATTGGACATACACATGGGGGTAGGGGAAGCAATGTAGATTATACACAAGGAGTTTTAGGTTGTGTTGTATATATAGGATGTGCTTGGGAATGCAGAAAATGGAGCTTGGTGTAGCCTGGGGTATTTAGTCATTAAGTAGCATAAGAAATAACAGATGTTTAAAGGGTGAAAAAAAATTGATACAGTGGAAAAACTGGAATAAAAGCATGAGCAGAGCCAATGTTTATGGAAATGAGTGTGACAATGGTGGTAGGGAGTGAGGAAGGTAAAGGATGAGTGTAGAAACTGGCAGAGCTATTGGTGAAAGCAATTGGAGAGTGTGGAGAATAAGGATGAAAGTGGATCCATTCACCGAGAATTTTAAATGCCACATTAGGCAATCCGAATTTATCTTAGAGGCATCAAACATTGATGTCTTCCTGGTAGCAGAGTGCAGTTGTCCCTTGGTATCTTCAGGGGATTGGTTCCAGGACCCCCATGGACATAAAAATCTGAGGATCTCAAGTCCCTTACATAAAATGACATAGTATTTGCATAAAACCTACACACATCCTCTCGTATACTTTAAATCATCTCTAGATTACTTATAATACCTAATACAATGTAAATGCTATGTAAATAGTTGTTAACGCTTACACTTAATAATGCTTTCTCTGTCTTTGCAAGCACTTTATCAAGAACCAGAGAGACCATTTTTGTCATTATAGGGATAGCACTTCCACTAACACTTGCACAAATTTTAGCTTCTTTCTGTTTTATTTTACGAATGTTCAACTCTTTCTTAATAACCTCATGGCCCACTGCAGCAAGCGACATGCCATTTTTCAAAAGATCTAAGATTTTTCCAGACACCCTTTAAACTCAGTACTAAAGTTAACTCCTGAAGTTCACTCGTCAGCCAAAGATTAGACAGGCCTATTAGACAAACAATAACATAAGTAGTTCAACCATGTATACGAGACTAAATGGGTACACCAGCCGATAAGTAAAGACGAGAAGGCAAGAAGGGACAGGAAAGCTGAATGAATGGAAATGGGGAATATGAGGTCAAGAAGGGGAGAGTGTTGACATATTGTGGCATTGGCAACCAATGTCACAATATGTGTATTAATTGTTTAATGAGAAAATAATTTGCTCTGTAAACTAAAGCACAATAAAAAATAATAATAATAAGCAAAGTGTTGCCCAAGGGTCCATGCCTGGAGCGGTCGAGCCAATGAAACATACTCTAAGTCAGAAAGAGAGGGAAAGTTTATTTAGGAGGTGACACCAACAGGGAGTCCAGCAGCAATGCAGGCTGTCTTTATGGAGTCCCAAAAGTCAATTTTACATTAGAGCTTATATATCATTGTCATAAGAGGGACATAGTGTCTTTTAGGCATGTAGCCCACAGATGGCATGGCTGTATGAATTATTCATTAAAAGATAATTACAAGAGACTCTTTTTATCAGACCAAAAAGATACATGCCGAATATCTTCTTATCAGGCTAAAGATTTACAGACCAGAAATCTGGGCTCTAATCTTTATGTGAGGGGTTGTAAGTCACAGGTGGCCGGACAGAACAAAACAAAGCTATTAAGAAAAGCATGCGGAAAGGAGAAGACAGGCAAAAAAAAAACTTATAGGTTCATCATGGCATCAGTTATGTCAAGCTTTCAATCACCCATTTTGAAAGGGAGAAAACATGTTACAAAGTATTAGTGTCACATATTCCCCCCTTGAAGCTTTGGTGACCATATACACCTGTCCCAAGTTTCAACCTAGTCCCTTAGATCAGAAAGTTTCCAGCGAAAGGATTGAGCTCTTTACCTGTGACAGGATTGAGCCATCCGTTAGACAGTCTGATTCAGGACAGAGAATGCCATCCCACATATAGGTTAAACTGGAGACAGCAACAGATTAACATGCCTATAGCAACCAATCCATTTTCACTAATGAATAAAGTTTTTAGCCATATAAGATATGGCAGCCAAGAGGTCAGCCAAGAAAAAATCAAATCCTTCATGAATCTTTACTTTTTGTAGCTCATCTTTTACATAATTCACCTTTTGTTCAATGAGTTCAGAGTTATCAGTAAGGTTAAAACAACACATTCCTTTAAACTCTCGACACCCGTGGTTGTGTAATAGAAGCAGATAGTCTAAAGTGGCCCTATTTTCTAAGACAGCCTCTCTGACCTGTCCTAGTTCCTGGCTAATAGCAGCTATGGCCTGTGATGTGGCATCTGCAGATTTTGTAGTGAAGCAACCTAGATGTTCTATTTCATGATAAGCCCCAACCACTAAACCTGGGACACTAACCAAGACTGTAGCAAGGGAGATATATTCAGCTGCACTTAACAAGCGTAGATTATCATCACAAGGTACATGTAGGACAAGTTCTCTCGTGACTCTATTTTGGAGGAATCTCTTTCGAGGCAAGTTCATAGCCAAACGCCCCACTGAACAGGGCCCATTGGTAGCATTAGCAGGGATATAAGAATAAACAGTAGTTCCGCAGAGTGGGAATCAACCTGAAGGGAGCTTAACATTAGTTGCATATGTCACTCTGTTAATGAAACCAGAATTCATACAGTCATTTCTTCCTAAATCAACACAGCTTGCTTGACATTTTGAGAACATCACACAATTAGAGGCATCAGTTACCAAGGAAACCTGAAGAATATACATCTCTCTGTTTTTGAATCTTATAACAGGCCCTAAAATATAAATATAAGAATATTGTAACTCTTTCTATTGTGTGTTTAAAAATGGTGAAATTTCTCAGTGCCTCTAGAGAAGTACAAACCCCAGTGAGGAAGGACTTTATGGCAGAGTTGGCATGCAACCCCTTGTCCAGACAGAAATCAGTAATGTTTAACATTTCTGTAGCAATATAGATCCAAAAATTTTCATCTTTTAACAAGAGGTCAGGGGGAGGGTTTATTTCAGGGATAAGGATTCCCTGGGCAGAAGTCTCTCTGGTGCCTAATAGTAATCCCATCCAAGTTAGTATCAAAAACATTTTTACTTTTTAACCTTAGAAAGTCTTAACTTCAGGCCGTCGATGGGTTGGGCTTTCCACTCCTTCTTGTCACTGCAGGCTGGGCAGGGCTTGACGTGGGAATGATGGAGCCAAGGTTTAATTCCTGCAAGCTTCACAGCTGTTCGAGTGCTGAGTAGTAAGGTGAAGGGTTCAGTCCTCCTAGTCTGTAACAAGAGGTCCTCCCACATTCAAAGAAGCACCTGGTCGCCAGGCTGGAAAGAGTGTGCGGTTGTCTCAACAAGAAACTTCTTCTGCCCGATCCACACTGCCTGATGCAACTGGGAAAGAATTTTGATTAGAGACAGCAAACATTTAGACATCATTACATTAAGGGGCTGAGTGGAGGATTGCAGGGAGAGTTGGTTGAGACACTATGGTTTCCCATAAAGTATTTCAAAAGGTCTGATTTTAAATTTTCCCAGGGGTGGAATATGGCCGCAGGGTAGGGCCAGTGGCAGAACATCTATCCAGGGTAGCCTGGTCTCTTGACATACTGTACTAAGATGACATTTTATGGACTGATTCATTCTTTCAATATTTCCACGAGATTGGGGTCTCTATGCTGTGTAAAGTTTCCACTTTATTCCTAAAGCAGCCAAAACCTGTACCACTGCGGATACAAAATGGGTGCCATTGTCACTATAGAGACCTCTTGGAAGCCCAAAGTGGGGGATGATCTCTTTCAGAGGGGCCTTGTCTACTTCTCTAGCCATCTCTGTCTGGCACAGAAAAGCTTCTACCTATACTGAAAAAGAATCTACAAATACC